ATTCAACTATTAAAGTGTTACGTTATTTTGGAGCCCGGAGTTGTCAAGTTCTTTAAGTTGGTGGTGTATGGTGCAGTTAGCAGAGAGCTTGCATAGTGAGATTCGTAACAGTATTTAAAAACGGTGATTTGTCGTTTCCATGTCTAAAGAGTCTCATCTAATGTGAAGACGTAACAACTACACGTTTAGTTGATATGTGGGGAACTTCTCAGATTTGAAGTACTCACCTCTACTTACATTAATTAGACAACTTATATCTTATCATTGCAAGTTAAGGTTCCCTTAAAACATTGCGATCTATAAGGCTGATGATGTTAAAACCACCTGTTATATGGTCAACGGTTAACAAACAGGGTGTCATGTAATCAGCAACCGCCTTTACTTTAACCATCTAAAATCAGATACCCATTAGAGTTAGTGCCTTAAAAATCTCGAAATTCAAAATTCCAGTCCTCACCGAACCTAAGACCCCAGGATCAGGAAGTTAAGCGCTTATCTACTCAGCCACCTCGCCCGCATCATTGTAAATACACTTAAAGTTTAATAGTAATGTTTACCCATCACTAAAAATTATTTTATAAACTATTCAGCATGTGAAATGATCGAGTATTTAGATGAGGAATGTGAGGCGGCTCATTATTTCTGTCTATGTGAAAGAAGAAACACAAGCAGAGCTTGGCTTGGTCCTCCTAGAATCGTAAAAGGCAACGCCATTATAAGTGGACAGGCCAACAAGGTGAGAAGCAGTTGAGATGCTCTTTGCGGTTGTCTGGATAAGGATATATATAATCCTGGAACGTTCGGCTGCACACTGAGCATGTTATTACAGCTGGAGCTTGTGTCGGTTGCCTTGATCTTTATTTCTGGCGCTTTTCTTCTGCCAGGTCTGTTCTTTCGTCATCTGTAATATTCGTGCAAGTTTTCTCAGCGTTTCGCCATAATGTTGTGTATAAATGTCGTTTTAGTTGTATTTTCTTGTTTTATTTGTAAATAAAAAAAATATAAGCCATACTGTTTATGATTTTGTTGTTTGTTTTACATGTTTCGGATGTTCCTTCAGAGTTGACTTACTAGTCCAAACCTCCCGCAGGATGACGGGGAATGGGAGCCGGCAGGGTTTGAACCCTTGACCGTCGATAAATCCAAACGACAGTCCAGCGCGCAAATCGCAAGACCAGGCAGCCACAGCTGCACACTTCTTTTGTATTTCAGCAGTATATGAGGATGGGAGAGAGCTTGTTACAACAGTTTATGTAACACTTTATTTTTAAACTTTTTTTTGTTACAAGAGGACATGACAAACACATAGGACATCTGCCTTGAGCATAACATCTTCATATTGGCTCTAGACTTGAGGATGCAGTTATTACAGGAGGAATGCTCCCGTCACCTCAGCGTGGCCCTCCTGTGGAAACGTCCGCCAAGGGAGTCGGATAGGCCAAGTACGGTAGCACACATAGCTCTCAGTGGGCTACCACACGTACGGTCGAGAGACTGTACAATGCACGTGGTAGGGATGGAACAAAGGCTCGCTAACCCGTCCAACCCCCTATCGAATCGTTCCCTAACGGGGGCCATAAGCGCAGTGATGGACCCTCGCACGGGTTCGGTGGGACATTATAGGCATACGAAGGGCCCCCACATACATACATGCATACATACATACATGCATACATAAATGCATACACCATACATACATACATACATACATACACACACACACACATGCATACATACATGTATACATACATACATGCATGCATGCATACACACATACATACATACATACATACATACATACATGCATGCATGCATGCATACACACATACATACATACATACATACATACATACACACACACATGCATACATACATGCATATATATATATATATACATACACACACATGCATACATACATGCATACATACATGTATACATACATACATGCATGCATACACACATACATGCATACACACATGCATACATATATACATACATACACACGTACATACATACATACATACATATAAACAAACATACATACATACATTACATACATACATACATACATTACATACATACATACATACATACATACATCATACATACATACATATTTATTAACTTATATGACACCCAAATTAAAACCGCAAGAAGAACGCAGGGGACGCGGTGGGCTGGGTTCGAACCAAGGACCATCCAGTTGACAGTCAGTACTTCCGCGGGAGTTTTAACGGTGCCAGAAGCTGTATTTCAATATTTCAAAAACCTTGCTGCTAAACTTTCACATTATTTGGGTACACATACATATGTGAACAAGTATCCACAGTTCCGGAACATTACACACGAGTGTAAACAGTGAAATACCTTGCACTAAGTACAACTGTACAATTGTGATGAATTCTTGTGATGTAAAACGACAATAGCTAATTTAAAAACAAAAATCTTAATTAGTTTTAGAAACGGCTAACTCTTGTAATTCCTCAATTTTATGTAAGACAAAAATGAAAAGTGAATGCATAATACAGTATAAATATGAATTAAAAGACATTGTACACAGTTAGCGAGATTATTTTTTGTAAGTTATAAGTATATACACACACGCGCCCAAATCTATTATATCTTTTTGTTTCTTTGACAATATGATTACTTTTGTTTTTGTATTCCCTTAGTTACTTATGTATATATATATAGAGAGAGAGAGCTCTATATATATGCGGCCCCCATTCCAAATTTTTTTATGCGGCCCTCGAGACAAAAAAAGGTTGCCTACCCCTGTTCCACAGAATTTTTTGTTTTTGACAGATTGTCCTGTTCTCGATCTCTAATATTCCTAAATGCTATCGGAAATCTTGGAGTCACTCTTCTATTTCCACTCTGGCGAACAATAGAGTTATTCTTCCAGTAGTCATTTAACTTCCCTGTAACATCAAGCCGAGCATCATTTAGTTTTTCAAAGGCATTTTTTATATTGGCAGGTGGAACAAATGAGATTAAACAAACATTTGACAAGATAAGAGATCTTAACTACTCCTAACACAACTAAGTTTGCCAATGTTGCAGCAATAGACGCCCTGGTTTGATCAAAGAGAGATGCCGCAAATAACCATAACAGACACACACATCATCATCATATAGCTAACCCTTGAACGGGGTCACCGCATTCCAAAATAGTTTTTAGCAAGTTTTGCGTTTTAAATAGTGTTGAAATAGGAAGATAAGAGAAGATTTGAAAGTACTCTCTTCCTCTGCGAATATGGCCTAGTTTTAGATCTATGACGACTAAAGAAAATAGAGACCTTCACCGTAATGCCTCTATCTTTGTGTCTTTATGAATATTTTATCAGGTTTTGTCTTTCTGAATATTTTATTAGGTTTTGTCTTACGACGTAACTATCTCCACATACGAATGGAGATATAAAACATGTGAAGCAAACAGTCACGATGGCCCAGTTGCAACCTTTATATTTAGCCGCGTCTAAAAAAATTACTAAGCGTTATGCTATTGGTGGTCTAGTGAGGTAATATTGGAATATAATAACATTATAATAAAACTATATCAAACATCACATGCAGTGCAGTTGATTAAATGTGTAAATGTTAAATTGATCCCATTTTGCGTGACCTAGACGACATGCTTAATTATTCATTTTGTAAACATAACCCCCCCCCCCAAAAAAAAAATATCTGATGTGTTTCGGCATATAGATGATACCATCTGCACTTCTGGAGATTATCCCAAACTGTAACTTGCCCATCCTGGTCTATACGTACGCAGTTAATTAAATTCTGCCACATTATCTGTTTTCCAGGCTGACATAAGCCGGTCCTAAGTTAATGGTAATGAAAATTACGATAAAAGGCCTAGGACCAAAATATATAGGCCTCAACAACTGTCAGTTTGCGTATAAAATTATGTTTCCTTCTATTTGATTATAAAATAGTTTAAAATATCAATAAAAAGTTTTAATTATATAAATATTTAATTGATTCTGTTAACAAGCTGTGATTTCTACAAATAAACTTTACCGCCCCCCCCCCCACTCGAAAGTTTATGGTTGGGGGGTGGGGGCTGAATTGATGCCATTGCCATCTCCCCATCCTACTAACTTGACTAACACACTAGAAGGGGGAGCGAAATATCTAAAAATAGGTTGAAATATAATTAATTAATATATATATTCTTCACCGCAGAAACGCATTCTCCTGACATCTGCAGGTCATTATTCATCCTAAGATATTACCTTTTGAGTAAGGTTTTCCTGGAAAAATATTCTAATATGATTTTACAGGCTTTTACAGCATCGCAACTACATTTAAAAACAAACATCTGAGATAATTTTTTTTTAATTTTAAGAGTTAGTTTACCAGAAAAAAAACACAGTTAACTAATATTTCTATTTGTGAATATTTCATTTTATTTTCTACACATAGCTGGCTTTGTGAAACTGAAAATACACCAAAAATTAATTTTCTTTGTGAACATATTGTAACATTATCTCCCTTACATTTATATACTGTTGTAGAATCGATGTAATTTTATGAAAAGATTGCTCGCATAATTTTATAAACTAAACAGTAGTCTATTAGAAAAATAAGAATCCGTTGCACCTAAACTTTCCAAGACGCATCGCAGGGTAAAATAATATTTTTAATTTCTCTTCTAGTTTTTGAGTTTTGAGTGTGATAGACGTACAGACGGACCGACGGACATTATGCATAAACCTAAAAACGGCTTTTCCCCGTATGCATGGTGAAATCATATTTAAAATTTCTCTTCTAATTTTTAAGTTCTGAGTGGGATAGACATACAGACGTACGGACAGACCGACGTACATTATGCACTAACCTAGCAGCAGCTTTTCCACGTACGGAGCGCCGCTAAAAGTAAGTCACAAAACACACACACAAACAGCACTACAAGAGTTTTTTAAAATCTATTTTTTATTACATTATATGGAATAATTGTATAATTTAATAGATAATAAAAATATTATTTCTAACATTGGTAAAAATAATTCAGCGTTACATGTGTCAAATAACAATTTAGTAGATAATAAAACATATTATTTCTAACATTTGTAAATTTTTGGGAGTTTTTCAACAGTATACCCCATTAAAAGTAAAAGTCTATAAGTCCGACTCGCATTGTGATAAAATCCGGCCCACCAAAACGTTTACACAAACTGTAAAAAAAATCCATACTCCACAAAAACAAAAGGTTTAAAAATGTTCCATTTCCTATGTTATGGCACTTAATTTTTACAAAGCTTATATTAACTCACTGTCTGCCTGGTAAAAAGTTGTACATGTTATTTTTCGGACACCCTATTTCGGATCAAGCTAAACATTTGCAAAATTGATTTACTTTTACCTGACAAACACAATTTAAGAACAAAAATACCATTTAGGTTATTAACTATTTGTAATTAATTATTTTATTTTGGATCTCAAACAAAGGAAAGAAATAACTCTTGACTCAACCTTGTGGTATAATGTTTAAGATTTTTCTATTTTAAAAACAAAACTTTACAAAGATAGACAATTTTATATCGACGCCCTCTTGTCTATTTGTTTGAAATGATATATTAAATTAATGTCAAAATCTCACATTTTTCAAATTAATTTATTTTGTGTATCAATAGCGTTTTCAATATTTTGTGATACATACTTTGATGTTTTTCAGTTCAATCTATCAAAAGAACTAAACATTCCTTAACAAGTAACACCTTCATAAGCTTAGTTTTCGCTTATACAATAAAAAAGATGTATTTATCCTTCCATAATACGTGTAGTCTATATTTTTTTATAACATAGGACTTAAGAGATAAAAAAACGTATATTTGACTATAGTGATAGTCAAATTATTAAACATAATAAAGCCATTCAGTGTCAATACGTAAATTTTAGTATATTGTTTTTAAATAAAAGAACTATTTTTTTAGCAATTTCGTTTGTATTTTTGGAACAGTAATATCACCACAAAAAAATGTGCATTGGGAAATTCAACAATAACAATATGAATGTCAAATTATATCTTAAAGTGCTAACTAAGAAAAAAAAATGAAAGTGTTATTTCTTTTTAAAGCAATAGTCTAGTGGTCGCAAAGTCAACACCCAAAAAAGAAAAATTTGTAAAATAAAAATAGTTTTACATTGGCTATTTCTTAAAAAAAGCTTTGTCTCATACTTATTTTAAAAAAGTCAATAAAAAAATGTAAACATTCCACCAATGTGAAAAATTGTTTTAAATTTCCTTGAAAAATAAAATTGTGTCAGATTTTTATTTATGTTGTTTTAAACACGATTCCAAGTTGTCAACGACAAGCCAATTTCTTATTTTACTTTTAAAATAGATTGTTTGCATAGATTTAAATAAAGTAAAGAAAAGCAAACGCTAGTTTATATTTTATAATATGTAGCCAAAATGGTTCTGGTCGTCCATGCATCTTGAATAACAATAGCTATTCTACCTGTATGTTCATATTTGTGTTTTAGTGAGCTTCCATCTTGAGTCCAATTAATAATCGGTTGAGATAAAGTTAGATGCCCTCTTGCTAATCTTAGATACGCTACTTCTGGTTCTTCTCCATGGACATTTTCAGAAGGACAAACTTTGTCCCAATGCTTTGCAAAATGAGTCGCAGCTGTCATAGGACTTGAGAAATGCAATCCCTCAGTTTTCATTAACTGTTCAAATTTATTGACTATATCTGTATAGCGTTTGATGTAATCATTTCTTACACTTTCATCTTGCATAAATGTTTCTAGTATTTCTGTTTCTTTCCTTGTTATTTCTGCTTTTCGTTTTGAAGATCTAGTTTCTATGTTTATCATTTTAACTAACTCGTAATATATGTACTCCCCGCATGCACAAAAATCCGAGATGTTATCAACTTGTTTTAATTCTGCAAAAATCGTAGCTATTTGAATATATTTTCTCATTTTAGAATTTTTCCAAAAAACATCATGTATACGTTTAATCTCAAAAGGTTTTATATTAGCAAAAATAGGTTTACCATTAATTTTAACATCTCGTAAAGAATCAAGTTTGAATAATTTTGAAAGTGTGATTTCTTTTTCAACGATCTCTCTATCAAGCTGAAGATCAAAACTTTTCAAAACTGATTTAAACTTAACAGATTTAACAAGGTCTTCAAGATCACTGAATGTTAAGAGTTTACTCCTAAGGAGTTCAGTCTTATCCATAATTTCATCTTTATCTTCTTTGCTCAGTTGAGCATAAGCAATAGGATGAATTTTTAAGTGGCCATTAAGATCATAAAAGCAATAAATGTAGCGGAAAAAATCTTCATCATTTCTTTTTGTGTCGTTCTGTCGAACCCAGTCTTCTGCTTCCGTTACTGTCTTCGTAAGTTTTAGAACGCTTAATAGAGCATTAAATTCACATTCATTATACTTTTGTAAATATTCGATTCTATCTGACATGTTATTTAAAACACTAAAATGTGTAAATAAATAGCTGTAAGATAAAATTGTGGGATGTAAGTAAAAAAAAATATATATAAAAATTAACGAGTGAATTAAAAAATTAAGCCTGATTGGACTTTAGAAAAACTATTTTGAATCTTTAGGAATCCACCAAGTGTGATGTTTTGGTATGTCATCTGGCTTATAAAGGCTTTCCACAGAAAAACCTTCTATGTCAAGTCCAACAGTAATATTTTTTTTCCAGAGAAGTATTGCTTCGTCTAAAACCTTCAGGGCGTCACTTTCTGTTATTTCTTGGACTAAATTGATATTTTGACTGTTTGAAGAATCGATTACTTTTATCTTTCCAAATTTGTCTAAAATAAACTGCAAAGCGGATCGATATTTTAAAGCTCTAGGTCCTTCTTTCGGTTCAAAAAAATAGCCGAAATGTAAGAGCACGGACAATATTTTGTGAATGTTTTTGTCTAAGCCAGAACCTATTTGTTCAATTTCCTCCTTTGTAAACTTTGCTTTCGTTTCACAAGCAGAGTACAACGTGTCCAACACATTTGTACACAGCTTAGTGCATTTTTCTTTCTCAATGTCGCAATCTTCTAAATCTTTAAGAGCACTGATAATGTCTTGTAAACGCTTTTCTTTTTCAGAGGACATTACCTGGCCTTTAAACTGTGAAAAAAAAATTGGTATATATATTGCATCAAGTTTATAGTGAACATTTGAAACACAACTTACTATTAAAGAAATTACAATTTATTTTTTAAATCGAAGAAGCACACTATATTTTAAAGTGATTAAGTAATACGAAAGACGAATCGATGACCTGAGAATAAGCCACAAACGTCGCTGAAAACCTATCCAATTAGCTAGGGGTAAGGACTGAGAAATGTAGCCCAATGCTTTGTTATTTCCTCTATGCGGAAGTGTGACAAATAATTTTCCACGATCCCGTACTTTTTTCTCTTGTAGCATGTTACAAAACGCGAATATGCTTTTTTAGTGTCCCCAATGCGAATCACTTTAATTTCTCACATGATCGCGTGCGCTATCTAGCCTATTTATAAGAGGAGTAGTGCTTTTGTTTAAAACATATGTCCATGTGTCCAGCTCTCTATGTTGACATCAGGACTTTTTACGAATTTTATGTAGGCCAAACTCAGGCTTGACACCCTGCTTCATAGTACCGTCCGTGTGGAAACGAGCGTATGAGGAAACAACTAGGCTAAAGGGTAGCAAAGCAAGAATCCTTTGGGGTGCTTAAGGAGTGCGAGAGCATCCTCTTTGTACTGTGCGGAGTTGTCAAAAAAGCTCCCACAAACTTGTCACAATCCAGGAGCCATTCCTCAAGGGGCCGTTGAATAGATGGCAGGGGTCCAAAATGTGCGCGGCCTCTGACCGCGAGTCTGACCTCCCTTAAGACATAACAGAGAACATTGTTCTCGTTCAGGACGGTGAAAGGGAGCTCTTGTTCGCTTTTTTGCTGGCTTGGAGTTCCAACAGCCGAAGGCTCAACTCTACTTGATAGTTTCAAGTAGAAGAAGGAGGTAGGCCAAGATTAGGCAATGGTCTGTTTTGAATCATGCTATTGTGACATATTACCTTCTTTATAACAAACGTTTACGCGATTGATTCTATATAATAAAAAAAAATAAACAATCTCATTATCGACGTTATAGAGAAAGGAAAAAGAATTAGCAAAGAAACAAAAGCAGCGATATATTATGAATAACGTTATGATAAGTTTTACAAAACACAAGATAGCCTTATTCTAATTTTTTTATTGACAGACCTGAATTAAGTATTTTTAAAGCTATGTTTATCCAAACTTTATCAGTGGCAACCCACCCAAAAAAAGAGTTAACATCATTTGCTCCACCAATCCCCAAGTCGGCCAGCTGGAGTAACACTGTATTAAATGTAATAAGATTATTTATTCAGCAATTATACAATTTAAAAAACGCGTTTTTTAAAAAATCTTTTCTATCTATCTATCTATCTATCTATCTATCTATCTATCTATCTATCTATCTTAATAAACTTTTTTTTGTGACGGCACGCACCGGTACGGCGTACCGGCACCAATTTGAATGTGGGGGGAAATATTCTTGTAATACGTTAATCATTAATTTATTAGTTAAAAGTTAGGCTATCCATGGCTGAGTACTGGCACCTATTTTTTTACAAAAAATACGGTATATATATGTATATATATCATCTGTTCCCACATAAGCACCAAATGCGATCTTTGTATTTGTCCAATAAGCTATTAATAGACTCTACACTCCTCCTCATTTCTCTTGCTGCATGTATATTGATGCGTTTTGAAGAAAATACGAATAACAAATGAATATAATTAAGTTATTAACTAAAAATAATTAGCTTCTCGCTGGACGACAGAGGATGACGGTGAGCAGGGTATAACCCTGCCTGGTCGTGCAGTTTGCGCGCTGGACTGTCATTCGGATTTATCGATGGTCCTTGGTTCAAACTCTGCCCTTTTTGTCAAGTTTTAATTTTTTCAACTTGTCACATCAAAATGGTGTCGACTGGTGCGGACCACACCCCTTCACATGTGATGCCACCGCTCCAAAAAATATCTCGAGATATAATTATTATCTTTTTCAATGTATCTGCTTTTGCCAAGTTATTATTTTTCCAATTTGGTTGTCACCACTAAAATGGTGACGACTGGTGCAGACCGCACCCCTCACTAGGTCTAGAAAATTTATGTAAAATATTTTAGATGTTTCGGATGTTCCTACAGAATTGAAGATAATTTATTTCCTAGTCCAAACCTCCCCTAGGACGACGGGGGATGCAAGCTCACAGGGTTTGAACCCGGAACCATCGATAAATCCAAACGACAGCCCAGCGCGCAAACCGTGAGACCAGCCAGCCATCCTAGACTAGGTTTAAGTCTAGACTATATAGACTCTAGAAAAAGATCCAGAACTAAATCTATAGCCGAATCTAGACTAGAATTTAGACTAGATCTAGAAATATATAATGAGAATCTAGATCTACTACAGCTAGATCTAGGTCAATATTATGATCAGGATTACTACTGGTTATAGTGCACTTATGCTGTTCGCATCAGATACACTTCTTGATGTGATACTTCTGCTTAAATAATAAGTAAATCTGCACCTCTAAGCTATTAGAAGATAAACTATTTTCTTAATGGATTATAAATGTAAATTTTGTTCAAATTGTTTAATACAACTAAATCAAAATCTAGATCCATGTCTGGCCTCTATTTATTGTCATTTAGATTGTTGTCAAGTGTAGGCCTATAGCCTCATAAGGATGTGTGAAAACTGCGCGGTATATAAGTAATTTTTTTTAAAACTTAACTTACAATTGAAACGAAGTTCGTATGAAAATTCTTTTTAAAAACAACATTTGAATCAGTAGTCTATTCCATGAGTTAGTTAATAAATGGAAAATCTATTGTATAATGATCCATTGATAATTTTTCAATCGTGACCTTAGATGCACTTTTTGTGCACCAATGTGCAAATCTATGAATAAAGCTTGATTTATTAATGCATTTTTATTTATTTAATGAATTCATTAATTTAGCTTGTGAACTATTAGTAAGATTTACTTTCCCTGAAGTTTTTCATTGAAATGTGAAGTAATTTTAAAAAAAAATCTAATTGCATATATAATTTTATAAATTAGATAGTTCACTTTTGGAAAAAAAAACAACCTTGCGTCAGAACTATGAATGATGTAAAATATCATGATGTGCGATTTTCATTTTCTCTTCTAGTTTCTGAGATCTAAACGGGACGGACGGACAGAAAGACGGACAGACCGAC